AGTCAGAGGTGCCAGCAAAGCTTTCTGGGAGCTAAGCCATAATTAAGTGATAGGGAAAATGTCAAATTTCAGCAAGTAAAGCTCAGGAGAATTATCCGGATGTGTTTATATCCCACATGAAAACACAGAAATAATCCCCAAGCAGGGGACTGATAACAGATACCAGGGACCTAGTTCTTACCACTCAGACCCTCTAATTAAGGAGTTTAAAACCAAGCTAATTTCATTTGAAAGGTGATGAAAGTTAGCACATTTATGAAATTCACTTGTTTTAAGATACATAAATTACCACTAAATGAACTCTGATCAGACTTCTCTGAAGCCATCAGGTTAAAAAAAAAAAAATGAAAGAAGGACCAAAAATAACTAAAAGTTCAAGTACAGTTGAAGATAATGATTGGAAATGATACAACCCAAATGAACTTTGCAGTGGGGTGGGACAGTGATAGTAACTTGGATTGGTATTTCTAATAAAAACAAGGTTATATTAGTAATCCCTGGTCCTCAGTAGAATTTATTTTTCGAAGTTCCAATAGCTGTTTCTGTATTTTTCTTTATTCCTCGCTCCTAAAGCCAATTAGTCATAAGTGGTCTCTCCCATGGCTTGTTTTGTGGTATGTTTGCCTTCAGCCTGATAGTTACTGAGGCTCTGGCCCTGGGAGTAGGTCACGGGGCAGTCCACTTCCCAGAAGAAGTTTTAAACATGCTTTTCTTCCCTCTTGGTTTGTGGCTATCATTAGCAGGGCCAAGGAAAGGTTTGTGCTTAGGGAAGTGCATTCTTCTGCACTGATGCTGGTGTTACCTACTAAATATCACTCTCAGGATATGGGAGGAAGAAGGTCCTTGAAGGAGAGATCCAGGTATTAAGGTTCTGGAGGGGTCTCTTAGAAGAGGGAAGGGGAGGAGAGGAGAGGGCAAGGGAGAGAAGCAAAGGAGAGGAGAGAAGGCAACATAGCAAACGTCAAGAAAGCAGAACAAGAGAATTTAAGCCTGTCCTTTTCATCTCTCCAAGTCTCATCTACCAGTTACTCTATCAACACAGTCCTCAGAAAACAATTCACCAAGTTGATGGCTCCCTCTGCTTGGGCCATAGGATCCAGTCTTTGGGCCCCCAGTGTGTCTGGGGCTTTTGCCCCTACTAGGTATTTCTAGTACATTCTTTCTGGATTCAACCTGCAGCCAAAAAGATGTATTATTAAAAACACACAAGGGAAATAGATAAGAAATTTAATATGCCAATTAAAATACCAAGCAGAATCAGGAAGGGACCATTCTCAGGGTCACAATTCCCTGGATACTTATAGCCCAAAAGGAACTCCGGACAGCACTACCGAGCTAAGAGAGCGGAGGAACATCTTGTAATAATCTCAGAGCAAGACACTTCCTTAGAGCTGCAACATCTACCTCCTGGTGTGGGAGAGGTTTACACTAGGGTATTTGGCATTCCCAATTCCATTATTGCTAGCTCTATAAATACTTGTAAATATTCATAATAAAAATAGCTACCATTTACTGAGTCCTTATTTGGACTGCAAACGATTACATCCTTTATGTATTATAAATATATATTATTTTCATAAGAACTCTCTCAGACATGCCCTAGTATCCCCACTGTATAGACGAAGAAATTAAAGGTTAAAATTGAGAGTGGTGCACTGATTTCCTTTTTTCTTCCAGGTGCTGTGTTAAGAGTTTTGCACAGACACATTTCTCCACTTTGTTTTTTGTTTAACACTTACTAAGCACCACGTACGGTTTTAAGTGCTTTGAATATATTAACTCAATGAATTCTTCCAACAGATTTATGAGGTGGGTGCCAGCATTGTCTTCTAATTTAGTGAGGGGTGGAGCCAGGAATGTAGCCCAAGCAATCTGGTCCCAGATAGATCTGGTACATCTAAACCACTTGGTTGTGCTGTCTTTCCTCCAACTTGACTTGGAGGGTGAATTTGTCGTGCTTATTTTTATGCAAAACTACTTGCCCAAGACTTGGAGCCAGCAAGGCACACACGTGAAGATCTCTGGGGCCTTACCACCTTGTGCGAGTTTGTGCTACCTACCCATCCTGTCTTTCCTAATGTGGTCCTGTGGGGTTCCTGAAAGTTAGACTAGTCAATTGGATTATACTAGTTCGGAGTTACAAAGAGCCTTATTTACTATATGCTCACCAGAATGAAGAGCTCTGTTCCAAGTATATAACCAATAAATATCCTTGGCTAATTCTGGACATTAATAAAATGCTACTGGTGAGAGTTTACATGTGCACATGACTTAGCTCAGGTGGCCATGGAGGTATTTCTCTTGATTCTTATCCAAGTGGTAACCATATAGAAATCTTTGGAAAATAAGACTTGCATAAATGTAATGAACATTGTGTCAGCTCCTGCTCATTTTTCTCATTTTATTTTATTTTGTATGTGCAGCCTATAGGAAGAGAGTTTTTAATACTATGGGTCCTCACTAGATAAAATGAAAAATATAAATATAAATTATACGCAAAGAACTACATCTTTCAGATTTACTTTGAACTGCTTGGTTCAAGTTGCACGTGAACTCTGGAATTTGTTCTTGGAAATGTACAATGGAGACAAGTTCATCTGAGGATCTAAGTTCAGGTAAAAGAATGAGCTGTGCCTAAGGGATGATTTAAACATAAATAGCTTTTGTAGAACAAACTTTGGGACCTAAAATGAGCTCAGAAAGAGTTTCTACAAAACCCCCAGTGATCCTCATTTCCTGGTATTCAAGGTCCCGAGTGATCCCTCATCTCTGAGTCTATTGTAGACCTACTGACTCATCTGTAAAAAGTAAAATACAATAGATGGATGAGCTGTCACTTTGAAGATTAGGTTAAGAAACCTGTGGCTCCCATAATGGGTGTCTTCACTCCTTTCATTCTTCACTCTACAAGGAGGCAGCTGCTGTGTTGTAAGCTGCACTTTGAACAAGAAAGTCACATCTTCAGCTGACAGGAGTGGATGACCTAAGGCCTTTCCACTGCCCTGGAGTGAACTTGGAAGTGGGTCCTCCCCATGTTCAGCGTGGAGATAGATGATGGGAGCTTCAGCCATCACCTGTGTGAAGCCTTAGGGGAGTCCCTGAGTCAGAAGCACCCAGCCATGCTACACCCAGGTTATTGACTCACAGAAATTGTGAGATGGTAAATGTTTGTTACTTCAGCAAATGAATTGTGGTAGTGATTTGTGTATTAGCTCTGGATAAGGCATAGAGCAAAAAGGGGAAAAAAATTACATGCTTTGGAGTTGTTGTGTGTTAGCTTTTGGTGTTTGTGACAAAGTGCCTGACATAATCAACCTGTACAGAGAAGAGATTTATTTCGGATCATGAGTTTGGAGCTTTCAGTTACTGGTCACTTGTCTCTATGTCAAGGTCATTAGGAGCCAGCCTGTGTAGGACAGTGTAATGTGGAGAGCAGGTGAAAGAGGAAGACTGTTCAACCTCAGTGTCTGGGAAACAGGAAGGGGCAGAGTCCCAATTATCCCCCCAAGGGAATATCCCCAATAACCAAACCTCCACCCACTAGGCCTTACATCCTAAATGTTCCATCTCTCTCAAAAGTATGACAGGCGGTGACCAAGCCCTCAGCACATGCACCTAGGGAACATTAAAGATTCTAATCATGACAGGAGTCAAGCAGTCTTTGGCTAAAACCCAACTTGACTAATACCTGTTGTGCAACAATGGATGAGTCACTTAACCTTCTTCAACCTCCCTTTCCTCAAATGTAAAATGGGGATAATAGTAATTATCTTGAACATTGCTATCATCATTAAATCAAATAGCATATATTAAGTGACGATGGAGGCCTGCAATATATTAGTTCTAATTTAGTATTTTGTTCTTCTTTCCTCTTTCGCAATACTCCTACTAAGACACTCATACTTTTTTTACCTTTTGTTAAGGAGTATTTGAAATCATAGTGACAGTGGGAGATTTTAAGAACCAGTGGTGTTGACAAAGGCACATTTTAATAGAATTTCAAACACAAACTATCAACTGACTGAAAGCATTGAGAAAAGGAAGAAGTGCAGCAAAAGAAAAGAACTCAACACTAAAGAGCAATGTCTTGCTAACATGCTTGCTTTTCTGATTTCATTACAGGGAGTAGATATAACGATATCCAGGTTTTAGATACCTCTCCCACACCCCAAAATGGATATTCTCAAAGTGATGAATGAAAGATGATCTTTATTTGATTTTTCTTTTCCATAGCATGATATACACAATGCCTTTTACCAAAAGTTTCTAAAGCTAGCTAGTTTTACTTCTTTTTCAAGGAAGAATAAAACCAAAGAAAATGGCTACCAGGAGGCTTAGCAGCCTTTACTGGTTCCTGTGGGACAGAATCAGGCCCAGGTTCCAGACTGAGAAAGAGACATGGTGTCTGAAATGAAACAAGAGCATTTCTTAATTTAAGAATTTTAGAAAAAAAGAATTTTAGGGCTAGGTTGTTAAGTGATCTTATTATTTTTCTTTATGTATTTAGTACAAGGTCTAGAGGGTCTCATTGCACAGATCAGACTCATAAAGACTTCTCCAAATACAGCTTCTCTAACTGCAATGGCATACCCATCTCTGACAAAACAAAACAAAAGAGGGGAATATATTGGGAGCCACGAAGCTAGGAAATAGATCAAATGAGTGTAGGTGGAACTAGACCTCAGTGCCTAACGCAAACAAGCTACCTCAGTCCTGAGATAAACATCCTGTCTAGTTAAGGTCAGCTATTAGTAGCTAGGCAACCTTGTGTCACCATGTTACTAACTTTGCAAAAATACAAATAAAGGATGATTTTTGTTGTGAAAAAAACCCTGAAAGAGTAAAATCCAAAAGCCACAATAGATATTGTGAAAAAGAAAGAAACTACTCAAAAGAAAAT